CGAATGGTCTATTCTTTCACTGGGGGTGTGTCTGTGAGCCAGACTAGTTTCGGAGAATTCCACTCCTCATCAGTGACACTAATCAATTAACCCTACTTTCTTATACTAATGGTACTACTGTAATAAATAATTTTTTATTCAATTAAATAATGCACTTAAAAACATAGAATAATAACACATAAAAACTAAACAATGTCCTATAACTATCATAATTTTTCTTGTTTTCTAATTATGCAATAAGTGTCATTAAAAATTCAGCCAAGCTCATCAATGTGTTTTCCATGGAAATAAAGTCTGAACTGGAAGTGAAATATATACTTCTCAGCACAGAAAACAGCATAATATAACATGCCATTTGATAGATTAAAACCATGGCTTTCAATTGATTATATATAATATAGTATTAAAATATCAGAGAAGAACTATTGGCAATTTGTGAAAGAGAAGATGCAACAGGTGGACATGTCAGGAGAGGTCTGATTTATTAGTTTATGGCATTACTACAATAATGATATTAATGTTATAGAAAAAAAAACAACTAATAGTCCAATGGGTAAAAGTTTCTCAGAGAGTCAGGCAATAAGAATTGCACACCTCTAATGTTTTAAAGATTTAATTGCTGTCATTAAAGATCTTTTAATGCAAATAGAAATATATTTTAACTAAATGGCACTTAATAACAAATCCCAGATGGAAAGAACAAAAAACTCAACAACTTAAGCTCCAACTTAAGGTATAGGTTAAAATTCTCACTTTTCACTATACTATTTCAATCTGGCACATTTTCAGTATGGCTTCTCAAGCACTTATATTGTTCTTGGGTTTATAAATGAAAAACCTGTAAAATTTAAGTTTCCTTTAGTGATAAGTTTAATTTATCAAATTAACTTTATACAATTTATCAAAAGAAAATAACAATTATGAAACAGAATTTTAAATATATATACTCTTTTCTAATAAAAGCTCTATGTTATCTGAAACAGATGTGGCTTTTTTGGGTTTAATGAGTTTGGATTAAACAAGATACATTTTATAGTTGCTTCATTCTAATGCTTTAGATCATTTTACTTTAAATGGTTTCTCACTTCTAGATTTACACTTTAAGTCAGATTAATAAATTTGGAGTTCTCTTCTGTAACTTTATTTCCTTTCATGGTTTGTTCTTCATTTATTATCAACAGGTTGGTTTATGTGTTCCTCTCCTTGCAAGTTTCTTAATTCATGTTTCATGCTAAGCCAGAGGTTTTATTCTTTTCATCACTACATGGGACATTTTTCCAGTTCTTAATGCTTCCTACTATCATATCCAAACAGTGTTCATCACATTACTTTGTTAAAGAAGAAGGAAGATTACCACTTCATTCAGATAACCTCGACTTTTTTCACGCTACACAACTGCTTTTTTATTTATTTATTCCTTGTCAAAACTAGTCTTGATTCCAAGTTTGAAAATTAAATTAAAATCTGTCCATTCCTTTTCTTCCACCATTTATAATAGTCTTTCTCAGTATGCTTTAAACCAGCCTTAACCTTATACTGTTTAACCATTTTGTGATGGGCTTGGTATAAAATACATGAGTTCGTATACACATTTGCACACGTTAAATATGTATACTATAACTTTTAAAGCAGTATGTGCATCTTCAAAACATTTGATGGATTTTTAGTAAACATTACGAGCCTTTTGTTCACAAAAAAATCAGATTTTTTAATGAAGTATTTTTACTAAAGATTAGTTTGTGAGTATTGCGAGTCTGTTTTGTTACTAGTCCAAATGCAAAGTGATTTTCATGTTACGATTAAAAAAACTACTCTTTGTCCCAAATGTTATTTGTGTAATCTCTAAAACCTCCTAAATACATTTCAATCATTTGTTTTCAGTAAAACTTTATATTTTATTTGCTATTTTCTAGCTAACTCTATATGGGGTCTGTCAATTTGACCGACCTTGTAACACCATAAAAAATTAGGAAATAAATATAAATTATGCTTTTTTTGTTCTAGAATGACTACAAATTATAACACGAACACATAAATGTTTAGTCTAAATATTTGAAACTCATAATATTATACATTTATATATACTGTATTTTTCAGTGTATAAGATGCACTTTTTTACCCCAAAATTTGATGTCAAAATCTGCTTGCATCCTATAC